CGAACCTATGACACACGTGTCAGAGGTGACACGCAAACTCATTTTGGTTGATTTTTCTTTGTTAAATGGCATTTAAATATATAAAATGTAAAAAATATAAATCTTTGTTTTACTATGGTTGAAAATATCAAAAAATTTCTATATGTGACACGGCACCAGAGTTAAGTTAGGGTTTTTTAAAATGCTGACACGCCGAGCTCAAAAGGTTCGCCATCACTGAACTAGACTCATGTGTGATGGAACACCTGAGAGAAGGTGTGTGTATACCAGGGCCAAGAATCTCAACGGCCAACTTAGAAATCTGACTACCACAGTCACGATGAAGAGATGCTATGATAGCTCAATCGGTTTCTAAAGAAAATGAGGACGAGTAGTTCCCACAGCAGGAGTTCTATCACCATCTTCTTCCTCATAAGTTTCCTAGTCAATGAAATTGTCCAGTTGGATGTTTGAGCCTGTTTGCTCCTAGGCACCACAGGTATTTGAGGCTCCTGTAGGTCCAGCTGTATGACTGGGGAGTGCACCAAGGAGGATCAGAGATGAGAGCAGTCAGTTACAGCACGGCGCCAAGGAGGGAGATGAAACCTGGGAAAGGCAGCAGCAAGTTTCTCAGCCAAGCAAAGGAGAAGGGTGAAGCCTTCCTTGTATGACTCGACCTTGCACTCAGTGATACCTGACGAGCCAGCTAATATTTTGAGGCTATGATTTAGTTTGTAAAAGTGACAAACTTTTGGATACAGTCCATTTTTTAAAATCATACAGCCCTCTGATGAGAAAACTGGAAACCGAAGCATCATTAATTTTTCTTTCAACGAGGATGTGTCAATTCTATAACAGGAACTTGTTCTGTGACCTTAGATAAAGCCATTCCTATCCTTCAGAGCACAAAGAATTTGTGAAGAGATGTGGGCAGAACATGGTGCTCGGTCTCTAATTGTATTCACCTGCAAACTGTCCCCCTTCCATCACTACTTTATTTAAATCATGGCTATGCGCTTCATCAACAATTTACTTGATTGGTACTTTCTCAGTCTCATTCTCTGGGGCATGGTTTTCTGCTTAACTTTCTTGTTTTAATTCTTCAGCAAAACCATACAATTTAATTAGGAAAGTAACCAGCTTTGTAACAGTTTCCACATCAACTCAGCTATGCTTTGACTGTACCTTCTCAGAGTCTGTTTGGTGTTGCACATACATTTTGCATTTGTTCATGTTTCAGATAAGATGCTGTGAATTTACAGCCTAAGCATGTAGTCTAATCACTTTTCCCTTTTCCAGAGCTCCTTGGTGATAGCCAGGAAAATCAGAGAATTCAAAGCACTCGTGTATGCTATTAAAGTAAGAGCCACCGAAGGCCAAGATGCAGGGTTGTTACCTTTCTGTGTGTATTAGCTTTCTATTGCTGCCGAGAGAATTAACCACAGCAGCATAAAACAACACCCATTTATCATCTTACAGTTCTGTAGGTGAGAAGTGCAGGCAAAGCTGGCTAGAATTTTTCTTCAGGGTCTCAATGGGCTAGAATCAAGGGGCCAGCTGGGCTGTGATTTAATCTGGACCTCAGAGGCATCTGGTGAAGACAGAACATAGTTCCTTGTGGTTGCAGGACTGACATCTCCATTTCCTTGCCGTCTATCAGCTGGGGTGACTCTCACCTTTTAGAGCCCATGGGTATTTCCGATGGTGTGGCTCTCACGAACATTTCACAACATACCAGTTTGATTCTTCTTTGAGACCAGTAGGAGCTCTTCTCTGATTTCTTTCTCTGCTTTTAAAGGGCTCACCTGATCAGGTCTGGCTTATCCAAGGTAATCTCCCTTCTGCCACATAACACAATATATCAAAGGAATGACTAACCCATCCTACTCACAGTTCCCGCCCACACTCAGAGGAGGGATTATGCAGGGCGTGCAGACCAGTGGGGAGAAACCTTGGGGCCATCTTAGAATTCTGTCTACCACACTGTGCTTCAGGGAAATAGGGCAACTAAAGGCTTCCTGGCAAATCCTCCTCCCTTCCCCTGGGAGGCAGTGCACAGGTGTGCAAAGGAGCTGTCAACAATGGCCCCAATTCTGTCCATCAGCTCCACAGGGCATAGGATGACAGGCAGTCATAGTCTCCTCCTCTGCAGGCCCTTTCTCTGCCTGGCCAAAATGCCTGCGCTAAGTGTGAGTGAATCACTCGATGACATCATTTACCTAAAACACCAGCAAGTTAACATGATGCTTTTAGATAGAATCTTATTTAAGTGAAACTCCTCAAACTTCAGGCCAATAAAACTTTTTTTTTTAAGGAACAGAAGAAATGTGCAGAGAAGAGTTGACAGAACAGGCACGAAACCGCTATCCTCAGAAAGGCCTGCTTACAAGATGGGCTCTTCGCTGGCATCCAGGAACCTAGATCTTGGAGGGTTTCCACCACCCTAATTGGGAAGCGTGGCTAACACTGAACTGTGTGTGCAAACAACATGGTTCAAGCTGAACACCTGCTTTCTCTCTGAGAGGCTGGAATTCTGGTATGTGCTAGGCAGAGGGGCCTACGTGACAAAAACCCTGGGCCCTAGGTCTCTAATGAGCTTCCCTGGCCAACAATATTTCACATGTGTTATCACAACTCATTGTTGGGGCAATTAAGACCATCCCGTGTGACTCTACTAAGAGACACTTCTTGGAAGCTTGAGCCTGGTTTGTCCTGGGCTTCAACCCTTGTGCCTCTTCTCTTTGCTGATTCTGCTTTGTATCCCTTTGTGATAATAAGTCATAGCTGCCAGTAGAACTATAGGCTAAGTTGTGAAAGTTTTCCTGCAAATCACTGAAGCTGGAGGTGCTGGGGGTGGTGTAGGTGACTCAGGAATAAAGTAAATGAACACATGCTAATGATCACACTGAGTCTAGGCTCCACTGCCCAGCAAACTTGGCTTTCATCCTTCTGCTGGGAAGATGGTCAGTGTAAATAGACTAGAGGCAAGAGGTGGCCTCACCTGGGCTCTAGAGGGCTTGGCCCTGTCTAGATACGTGTGTTCTGATTCCACACTGTGACCCGGGGCAAGATACTTAACCTCTGTCTCTCCCAGTTTCTGTATGTGTAAAATAGCAATAATAATGGTACCCACATCATAGAGTTGTTAAAATGAGGCAAGCTACAGGAAGCATTGGCACTGTGAGGGCACATAGTGGCCAAGAGGGACTGGGTGTAACTCCGGATGTAACTCCCTGTGGGGTGGAATCCCTGGAATATCATTGACATTCTAACATCTACTCCCTTTCTCCCTTCACTCCGCTCCCCTCTTCCTCACCAGCACCCTTTCCTCCCCTCAGTGTCATCTAAGCCTCCACAACCAAGCCATTTCCTCCCCCACCCCTGTTTATTACCTTTCCTTCAGAACCAAATGAATACAATACGCAGGAATGTTTTATAAGTGTGTTCATAAAAGGGGTCCAATATAAATGCGTTATCATCAGTGTCCACAGTCCTGGCTTTATTCAACATCCTTTAGTTCCATTTACTGTGATTTACAAGAGTTTGTAAGTAACCCACACAGTCCTCATTGATGTTATGTTATTGTTTATGATAATGGTAAGTGATCACATATATAACGATGCAATTTTATTTTCATAGCTTTGTAAATCCTACCATATAAATTAGGGGAAAATCCTAATGATTTTTTCCTATATTTGTTCCCTGAAATACTAGACCCCAAGGTGTAAAGTGGCTATTTAATTTTTCCAGTGTTGTATTCAAAACACAACTGCAATGGAGATGGAAACATCTACTTGAAACTGGCCTTGCTTCTTTACAATTTTTGAGGCTCTGGTGGATTGTTTCGATAGTGTTCAGATATTGCTGTTGAAAAGGCTACAATGGTTTGGGAGAGGCCCAGCAAACGCAGTCTCTCTGGAATTGGATAAAACCATAACAATTTGAGGATAAGCTCCTGCAACCTCACTCCTTATGATGAGACACCAACATTAAACTGGACATTTCATGGATAGGGGCTGGAGAGGAAGAGGAAGAGAGAAAATCCATAAAATAGAAGTTTAAAACTTCATTTGAAAATAAATTCAATATGTAAAGGGAAGATGTCAAAGAGAAAAAAATCAAACCAAAAACAGAAGACCAAAAGTTTGATAATTACGAACATTTCCAGAAGCTCCTGAGTCTGTCACTCCTCCTTTATTCCTCATCCCCTCACACCTTCTCCAGGTAGGATTATACTCCGGTCATATAGGACACGTGTTTTTCTATTCCGTATTGAAGACATTAATAAGGCTTCCTTTGTAACTGCTTTGCTCTCCATGAAAATGAGCCCAAACCACCACGTTTTAGGGGCTCACTTCTCTTCTTGGCAGGTAGGCATGGAAAAGAGCCCATCACCACACTTCTCATCTTAAGTCTTTAGCTAAAGCTAACACTCAATTACATGCAGTAATAGGGACTGAGAAACTCACTAACTTTAAAATCCATAAAATCCATCAAAGATTGAGTAAGCAGAGCCCTTCAACTTTTGCCGACAGAATTCTCTTATCAAATCCACTGAAACATAGCAAAATTAATTAACTTCAATTTCTAGCTTTTGTTTTCTTCATCTCACGTCTGCCTGAAGTTCTAATGATCCGCAGGAAGATTTCAAGAGGAAAAAGTGAAGCTCTGGAAAAGTATAAACTAACTTCACTCATGCATTAAACAACAAAACATTTACTGAGCTTCTAGGATATTCCAGAGACTGACTGAGAATATAGTGATGAAGAGACATACACAAGCTCTCTCATGAAGCTTACATCCTGCTAACGGAGATGGAAAATAAATAAATGAACTAGTAAATAGATAATGGGCCAGATATATAATAACATTTTAATAATCTTAACTGCCCATTAAAAGCTCTTTCAAGTTCTCTTAGAATGTTATTCCCGTGGTTAATTAATTCCAAATATTCAACTCCAGTCAGCAAAGCGCTGCAAATACATTGCAGGCACAATGATAAGTGAGTGACACTCTCTTACCTTAAGCCGGTGGCATATTTTCTTCAATGCGTACACTTCCTCTTCTGTACTGGGGATAAGTCTTATCACCTTATCACTGTAAGAAAGGGGAAAATGGTGATATTTACCTTTAAAAAATAAAGATTTAACCATCTCTATTTTTTTTTTTACTTAAAAAAACAAAACAAGCCCTAGCTGCTTTGGCTCAGTGGATAGGGCGTCGGCCTGCGGACTGAGGGGTCCCAGGTTCGATTCCGGTCAAGGACATGTGCCTTGGTTGGGGGCGCATCCCCAGTGGGGGGTGTGCGGGAGGCGGTTGATCGATGTTTCTCTCTCATCCATGTTTCTGACTCTCTATCCCTCTCCCTTCCTCTCTGTAAAAAAATCAATAAAATATATTAAAAAACAAAAACAAAAACAAAAAAAACCAAAAAAACAAACAAAAAAAAACACCTGCCTCTGTCTTTAAGAAGGAAAACAGCAAAACTTTGGGCTCGACAACAGGTATTTTATCCAGTTCTTGTTACTCTCTGATTGCTTGGTCTTTTTCTGTCTTAAAACCATTTGTTTTTTCATCAGCTTTTGAAGATTACAAACTCACCCTTAAGCAGAGAAAGGCCAAAACACAGGCAGAGTGGCAATAAGGACAAGAACTCTCCTGAATACCTCAGAACAGACACCAAGAAAGAAAATTCTTTTTTTTTTTTTAAATATATTTTATTGATTTTTTTTACAGAGAGGAAGGGACAGAGATAGAGAGTTAGAAACATCGACCAGCTGCCTCCTGCACACCTCCCACTGGGGATGTGCCCGCAACCCAGGTACATGCCCTTGACCGGAATCGAACCTGGGACCTTTCAGTCCGCAGGCCGATGCTCTATCCATTGAGCCAAACCGGTTTCGGCAAGAAAGAAAATTCTTAATGATAGAAACACACACACAACACTTTTAAAATAAAACTTAATGCTGAAAAGGAATGTGACTTTTGATGAGAGGAGATATGGAATCCACACACTATGACCATTCCTGGTTTGGATTCTTCCCACACTGAGAACAGTAAAGATGAGCCCATCTCTATGGGGCATCTTAACTCTCTAGTACAGAGCTTCCCGACTGGTCTGGGGGACCCGACTGGAGGGCCACCCAGTTGTTTACATGAGTTCCATGTGACACTGATGACCGTAAAGTTGTTAAAGTGGAAACAATTTTAAGCCAATTTTTACAGCCATTAAAATTATACCACAGTTGAAATTATATTTGGATAGTCTCTAAGCGTCTTTCCATAACTAGACTAAGACTGGAGGGGTCATTTGCCAGGGAGTTGTTTGTGGTGGTGACCTGTCCCTCAGGTGCGCCAGTCAGGTATTATCATTTTGTCTATGTCATGATGAGGAAGTGTTGGGAAGTGCAACTCTATTGTGTTAAAATCACAACTGTCGCCGAAACCGGTTTGGCTCAGTGGATAGAGCGTCGGCCTGCGGACTGAAAGGTCCCAGGTTCGATTCCGGTCAAGGGCATGTACCTGGGTTGCGGGCACATCCCCAGTAGGAGATGTGCAGGAGGCAGCTGATCGATGTTTCTCTCTCATCGACGTTTCTAACTCTCTATCTCTCTCCCTTCCTCTCTGTAAAAAATCAATAAAATATATTTAAAAAAAATCACAACTGTCAGTGTGTTTTGCACAGAGTAGACACATTAAATATTTATTAATGGATTGGCACAAAGGCGATCATTGAGAATTCTTGGCTTCCAGAGGAAATGTAGGTAAAACTAAATAAAGTACACAGGAAGGAATATTTTTCGTAACCCCCTATGGCATTTTATAATGACTGAAGATAAAGTAGAACATCATGAAGACCATATATTTAAAGCTCAAAACAAAAACTCTGGCAGTTCACCCACAACTTCCATCTCCAGCCTGACAGGTGTGCCAGAATCAGGATGGAATTTGCATGCTTTCCGTGGTTTTACTTAAATGAATAACAGTTTCCAAGATGAGGTAAGATTAATAGGGGGGGCATTAGGGACCTTCCAGATTTGCTGGGTGATGATTCTTTTTTAAAATAACATTTTAATTATAACTTATTTAGTTTATTGATTTGAGATAGAGAGGAAGGGAGAGGGAGAGGGAGAGAGGAGGGAAGGAGGGAGGGAGAGAGAGAGAGAGAGAGAGAGCGAGAGAAACACATTGATTTGGTTGCCTCCCATACAAACTTCAATCAGGGAATGAATCTGCAACCTGGGTATGTGCCCTGACCAGAAATAGAACCGATTACCCTTGGAGCACAGACAACGCTCCAACCCACCAGGGCTGAATGAAGGTTCTTTAGGGCTGTGTGTTCATTTCTAATCAGTTTAGCTTTGTTATTTCCAATGATCCGGTTATACCTTTGTTAGACTATGAATTAAAAGGTCCTCGGCTTGCTCATGATAATTTATTATGGTTAGGCACTACCACCCTAATCTGGCTTTGTAGCTTTTGTTTCCTCAAAGTCACAGAAAACAACCTTTTAGTATCTTTTTCTGAAAAGAATACAAGAAAGTAGAGGTTAAGAAAAATTCATCGAGTCACTGTAATAGAACTCCAAACCTGACCTTTAGAATTGAAATGTAATTACATCTTTTCTGGTACACAATGCATTGACCTTTGCTTGCCCTGGCTTCATCAGATCCTGGCCTCTCCTACCTGACCGACCCAATATGGTTCTTGGCTGAGAAAGACACCTTTGCTGGGTGATATGGTTGTTTCTGAAGGATGGATCACTTGACATCCTGCTGGAGACACCTCCATCGGGGCCTGTCAGCTCCCCAAGAATGCAAAGTAAGCAATCCGTAGCCATTTTACAACCGTGGGAAGATTAAGAAAAAACTTAACCCTGAAAGTGATTGCTGAAACCCAGTTTTATCATTCAATTTAAAAAAATCACTTCATCTCAGCTTGTAGAAATTCTCAGGTGCAACTTGAGAAATGTGTTTATTACTGTTTGATTACTTATCAAAGAACAGAGAATAAGGAAAGCTATTTAGGAAAATCCATAAAATGTCTTACTTTTTTACAAGCCAATAAATTACAGGGGTAGACTAACCAGTAACTAAAGACCAACAAAAGCTCTTTATTTAGCATGTAAAACCCAGTGACCCCCAACTACCCCATTTGTCTCACCAAAGGCAAAGCTTACTCTCTCTAGATCTGATAGCTGGCCATTTTGAAAGCGGATGATAATTCAGTACTACAAACGGGTTTCAGGTAGTGAAATAGCAACTGGAACTTAGAAAAACCAGCTGTGAGCGAGTATCAAAGAAGGTGAACTGAGAGGCTTACTCATTTATCAGTTTTCGCCCGCTAGGTGGCAACATCAATTTAAAACCCCGTAACTACCCTTTGGGATTAAGATGAGGAAACCAAAGGTCTGAATGTGATTGAGGCTAGAGACCAGCTGCTCATTTGTATATGTGTTTGTAGACTAGATATTTCTAATTCAGCCTATATAAAGTTGTCAGGAGGAAAAACAGAACAGGTGTTTTTAATTACAGTTTAAGGATGTAGTATAGAGGCAGTATAAGTAACCTCCAGGTAATTATGTATATGTATTGATTCATTATATACTTAGATTTTGTCCCCTTGCCTTAGAGGACAAATGAGATTGTATTGCTATAATGCTAACATCAAGTTTTGTTTTATGTTAGATTATTGTTATGTACAGCAGCAACCATGAGGATGAGATAATCTTGAGTAAATGAAATCGATTTATAAAGTGTGTAATAAGAATGTATGCATCCAGAGAAAGGAATTTGGCAAGAGAACACCATCTCTAACGTTTTACAGTCTGCCTGAGCCTCTGTGTCCTGGTGGGAGGGATGAGCCCCACTTGCCTTTTCATGTTATGCTGTTTGAGTTTGATGGCTACCATGTTTACTGGGACACCTATGGAAGAACAGCTCTGTTTTATGGGCAACCAGGGGGTCCTCCTCAGACTCCTTTTGAAAGACATGGATGTGAAGTTCCAGAGTTTTGTTCTGGCTCCCGGCAAGACCTTTCACAATTGATCCCATGATTAAACTCTAAATTGCTCTAGTTTATGAACCCATGCTTGTAAAAATCAAAACATTACAGAGGATATGAAATAATAAAGTTCCCCTCCCAGTTCTCTTCCAACCTTGACCTTCCATCCTCCCCTCAGAGCATTGTTAATAGTTCCTTGTGATTCCCTCTAGACCAGCGGTTCTCAACCTGTGGGTCGAGACCCCTTTGGGGAGTTGAACGACCCTTTCACAGGGGTCGCCTAAGACCATCGGAAAACACACATATAATTACATATTGTTTTTGTGATTAATCACTATGCTTTAATTATGTTCAATTTGTAGCAATGAAATTGGGGGTCACAACATGAGGAACTGTATGAAAGGGTCGCGGCATTAGGAAGGTTGAGAACCACTGCTCTAGACTTTTCCTTTGCATTGACACATGCACACACTCTTGGGACCACAGCTAATTTGACACCTGACTTAAAGGCAGTCAATGGACCATAAGGTGGGATGACAACTGAATCCTTCCCAGATGGGTTCATTCCACTGGTTGATGACTGACAGCTGATCTAGTCAGATCCTGCCTTTGGGACTTTGCACTTGAGACATAAAGAAAAAACCAGTGAGTTTGCATTATCAGGAGCAGTGGCCATAGATGCAGGCAACAGCCAAGTTACTATAATGGCAAAATTCTCAAGCACGGAATGTAGGCATTTGACACATTGCCCTGGTTTGGAAACAGTCTCCAGTCTTATGCTTTTTTAGCATCAACATCTATCGTCTGATGCATGCCTTTTCAAACTTAACAAATGCACTATTACTAAGACCACTCAAACTTCAGGTACTTCAGTTTTTCATTCATATCTTTGAAGAACTATAATTATCTTCCCTGATCCATTTTTTTTCTTCACTTAGGGAAGAAATAGAGCAAGGCTGGATTCTAATATCAGTTCCACCACTTGCTGTGTGCCCTGCGCCAAATTGCTGAACCATTTAGAGCCAATGATTCATAATCCTTACAATGGGGGGAAACCCCAATACATTGTTGCTTAAGGTTTTGGTGAAAATTAT